GCAGGAATTCTTTTTTTAAAGTCTCTTTTCCTATCCCATATCCATGAACCACACAGTTTTTGCCACCAGATGGAGACAGAAAGCCATGCTTGTACAGTTCCGTCCAGCTTGCAACCCAGACATTCAAAATTTCTTACACAAGTTACACTCTTGAAAAGGATCTCTATTCTGAAATATAATCTGAGATAAAGAGTAACCTGAACTCAATCTCCTGTAGCCCTGATCACATTTAAACAAATAAAAACAACAACAAAAAGGCATTCTTTTTCTCTGAGGAGACTTAAAGTAAGAAAAGATAGATTAAACAAGGCAAGACAATAGCCAGCCACTTGTATACAATTCTATTTAACATGTTCTAGTACCTGTACTGTATTCTAACAAGAGAAATGATGAAGGAAGCCTTTAGTTAGAACTGTGAATCAGAAGAATTTAAGAAACATATGTATTACATTCATATAGCTTAATATATTCACGTATTGTATCCATATAGGTCAACACTTAAGACTACATAATAAAAAGTCTTTTTTCCAAAACTGTCCCCCCTAGCCACTCAGTTCTCATGCCCAGTTTCTTACATATTCTTCCAGAACAACACATAAATTACCACCACCAGCTCGCTTTAAAATAAAACAGTAGCATTTTTATGTACAGTATACCTCACTTTTTTTAACCCAACAACATATTTGGGAAGTTTTCTCAAGAAAAAGTGCCCTCGGGCTTCCCTGTTGGCCCAGTGGCTGAGAGTCCACCTGCCGATGCAGGGGACGGGTTCGTGCCCAGTCTGGGAAGATCCCACATGGCGCGGAGCGGCTAGGCCCGTGAGCCATGGCCGCTGAGCCTGCGCGACCGGAGCCTGTGCTCCGCAATGGGAGAGGCCACAACAGTGAGAGGCCCATGTACCGCAAACAAAAAGAAAAGAAAAGAGAAAGTGTCCTCAATGTTTTCACAAATGCATATGAGTATCTTTTTAAGTAACATGAGGCCGGGCCGCTGAGCCTGCGCGACCGGAGCCTGTGCTCCGCAATGGGAGAGGCCACAACAGTGAGAGGCCCATGTACCGCAAACAAAAAGAAAAGAAAAGAGAAAGTGTCCTCAATGTTTTCACAAATGCATATGAGTATCTTTTTAAGTAACATGTACTATGTTATACCATTCAAACAATTCTAGATCTTATCAAAAAATATAAATTTCTAAATAAAATTATAGTTGGTATACCCAAATTGTGGGCTTTATTACAGTAATTTAAGTATAATAATGTACCATCTGTAAAATTTTACATTTTTATAAGGGCTAATCAAGAATTTTTAGGACTAAAAAAAATGATCCTCAATGAAAAGAAATAAAATCAACTTTCTTACTGCTCATGCGATTAACAAACTACACTGTATACTGTCATCACAAAATGCTAAATTTAACCAAAGTACTGTACCTCATGATGGGTGCCTGCAAATCCAATATTTTCCTCATCTCTAAATTTAATGCTGGAGCACACTGTTCTTCCTTAAAATGGGGTGTCCCCTTCACTTGTGGACTTCCTCTAAAAAAAAAAAGCAAATACACAGGATTAAAGAGAAAGATACTGAATTCTCCTCCAATCTGTGACTAATAGCCAATCAAATAAAGTAACACAATCAAACGTAAAAATCAGGTGTTCATCCTTTAGGTTCTCAAATGAAAAACATACTTAAATTCCACTATAGCAGACATATCTATTTATCAATTAGAAATAAATGTGTCTGACCAGTGTAACTTATATTGGGGGGAGTGGGAATGGAGGGAGAAGAGAGAGAGGAGCAAAGAATCTTAGGGCAAAAAACAGTAAGGATAGAAGTTAATTAATTCTCAAAGGAACCAACAGACATTTAAAATGACTGACAGCCCTCTCTGAGTTGAGCAACTACGAAACTTATATACCATTCTATTATACAGTGCATGTCTGAAGTGATCCAAATCGTCACTTCATCTTCCCTTGCTCCACACCTCATTCTTGATTCCTATCCTTTAGGTATGTATCAGACTTAAGGTCAGATTCAGGGATGCAATTAGGAGATGTTTTACATTAAGTGGCAAAATAGGTAAATTCGAAAACTCCTTGGCACTAAATGGCTGCATTAGACTGGCTAGGTCAATGCCAACATAATTCAGCTGTCACACACAAGCCCTCAAAAGGACTATAAAGCTGTTTTGGAATCTTTATATCCATATGGCATTGGACCATTCTTTCTCAATGCCTGTGCTAGAATTTAACAGCTATCTGTCTCTTCTCTTACTATCAGCTATCACTTACTCTAGGCAACAATTAGCCTGCCTACATCATCTTTCCTTCTCATCACCTACAATCCTAGAAACCAACTTGTCAATACTATTAAAACTAAGCACAAAGAATCTAACAAGTTAAGGTTCCTAGCTTTGTGAAAATTATCTGGATGCTCAGAAAATTATTTAGATGCTTATTAGTTTTAGATTACTTTCCATATAGAAACCTGGTAGTGCTTTATTACTATCCTGCTCTGCTACTGCCATGACCTGGATATCTGATTCCTTCTACGTGTCTGAATGGCTAAATTGGCTAATGTTTAACCAAACATGTTGTTTAATTAGTATGTTTGATATGACAGCCCTTAAAAGGACATCATGAGTTATTAGTTTACAGGAGTTATATCTGAATTGCTAACCACACAAAACACTGTGATGAATTTTCTGAGATGTTCTCCATGTACATCTAGTTTTAAAGCTATTATTCAAAGTAATAAGTACACATAAATAGTCAAACAATGCTAGAAGGCTTATGACAAACAAAAATAACTACTGAAGTAGTCTTCTTTCAGTGAGGAGGCAACCAGCTTGAATTCTTTGAGCTGTTATCTTCTTCTATTTACCTGCGTATTTTTTAAACCATGTGTTTACACTGCTTTAACATCATTAATTTTAGACATTAGCTTTTTATTCTCATTTACCCATTTTTTCCCATCCTCCCAACATAATTATACCAAACTGTTTTCATTATGATGATTACATAAATATTTTTCACTTCTGGGTCAAGTAGTGTTCAGTAATCTTTCCTTAAATAACTTGGTAATTTTCCACATGCTTTCATTTGCTTGGTTTTCTTTTTTTTTTTTTTTTTTTGCAGTACACGGGCCTCTCACTGTTGTGGCCTCTCCCGTTGCAGAGCACAGGCTCCAGACGCGCAGGCTCAGCAGCCATGGCTCACAGGCCTAGCCACTCCGCGGCATGTGGGATCTTCCCGGACCGGGACACGAACCTGTGTCCCCTGAATCGGCAGGCAGACTCTCAACCACTGCGCCACTAGGGAAGCCCTGCTTGGTTTTCTTTAAACTTATACCTAAGTCATCTCATACTCCTTAATAGGTCTGACAAAAAAAATTTCAGTACAATCTTCTATGGGGTCAAACCTGCTACATAGCTTATCATTTCCATTCCCCCCCCGCCCCTGGAGGCATCCCTCTTTATGCCCATTGCCCTACTAAGTCTAATGCACAGCTATCAACATGATATTTACTTTGTCATCATCCTTACGATTTCTTTGCTTCTTTCCTATGTTGAACCCTTTATTTTATAGATCCTGTATCTTCCTCGGTTCACATATTCTTGGGGCTTCCTGGAAAGGTGCATGAGAAGTAAACTTAGAACTCTCAAGTCTGAAATGTCTCTATTTTATTATGACACTTGAATGAATGTTTGTCCTTTCAAAAAAGACTATGATAAAGTTGTCTGAAGACATTTCTTCTGCCACTGTTCTATATCCTGGGAGGGTCTGTCAAATGTTTCTTTTAATGCTTATTGAATTTTTAATTTCTGCTATCATGCTTTTCATTCCAGGAACTTTCTCACACCCACCTCCCCTTTTTTTCTTATAGCATCAATTTTTTTTTTTTAATTAGGCAATACCTGTTTAAGGTGGTTCATTTTCATTTCCCCAAAGTGTTTTTGTTCCCTGTATTGCCTATTTCCTCTGAGTTTCCTTTTTTCTGTTGTGTGTCCTATTTTACGTTAGAAACTTTCCTAAGATGGATAACATCTTTCTTCATGTTCAAGAGGTTAATGAGAAAAAACTAATTATAAGCTCTATGTGTTCAAGTTGGGTTGTCAACTGGTGGACCTCAGGGTAGGCATTTTTGTTTGAGGTCTTCCAATATGAGAGGCTGTTGGGTCATTCATTGGGAGTGATTTAATTTCCCTAGGAAGAATCCCTCAATCAAGTACAGAAGCCAGAAGTCTGGAGCCAAGCAGGGGAAGAAAGCTTGACATCCTACTGTTCAGTACAACAACTTTCACTTAATCCCCATCTTTAGTTTAGCATCTCATCCTTGCCCTACTCTGTGTCTGGAATCCCTCTGGTTTAATCAGACATCCTGTCTCCTGTGAGGAATCCTATTCCTTATTCAGATTTTTCAAACAACCCCTATTTATGGCCCCTGGTTCACTCCTATATTCTGTGGTACTAGTACCTGAGCCATTCTAGGGTTTTGCAGATCAAACATTCTAGGGTTCTAGGGTTTTGATTTTCATCAATATCATATATGTAACGTTAGGCTCTCAGGTTTGATATTCTTCCTAAGTCATTTATTTTTTCTCATCCAATTTTTAGGTCGTGGGTTAGAGATACCTCCAGCTCTCATTAAAGATGAAAACAGCATTTCAACTTTTTGTTCTGTTGGTGATTTTCAAGAAAAAGGTGGAAACCTCATTACCCATCTTGAAACTGGAAACTATTTTCCTTTATATAAATACTATCATTTATTAGAGCTAAAAGTATTATGATAAGAATTTTATAGCAAATTTAAATAAATCCTGACTTCTCAATGACTTCCCTTATAAAATTAGGAGATAAACTTCACAGTATAATTCCTATCCCTTCCTCCAAACATACTAAAATGCAGTAAACTGTTAAAAATTACATTAACAAAAAAAATCTAACTTTCTGATCAAAAATATTATTACTTATAGTTCAACAGTAATTTGAGAGTATTGCATCAGATTTTTGTAAGGGAGCCAAACTATGAAGAGCACTGAATGCCAGGAGGGAAAAAAGCAATAAATTGAGCAGTTACCAAGTATGAGTGTACAAAACGTTCTGCACACATTATGTCAACTGATTGACTACAATCCTTTGAGTCAGGCATTATTATCTGTATTTTTCCAGAAAAGAAACTGAAGCTTCAGTTTATTATTAAGAATTTTGTTTATGGTCACAGAGCTAGTAAGTGAAGGAGTTAAAATGAAAACTAGTAGAGTTAAAGAGACTAATAATAACCTTTGTGTACACAAAGAAATATTACAATGAATGCTAAAGAATGGATTGGTGATAGAGTGGGGAGGGAGTAGTGTGTAAATTAATTAGGAGACTGTTAATAAGAGTACACAAAGGCATCTACTAGCAGTGGCAATAGAAATGTTTTTTCAGACAATTTTATCATAATCTTTTCTGAAGGGATATGATAAAAGCATATTGAGAATTATAGTTCCCAGTCATTAACAGAGACTTCTCAGAGACAGACACATACAATCACATTGGATGCATACCTGGTTGTCATTCAAGCTACTGAAACATAATATATTCTTCATTCTGGGGTACATAGAGAACTGTGCTTTCCTCACCACTTAAAATTAGGTATGGCCATGTGACTTACTTTGGCCTATAAAACACAAGGGGAAGTGACTTGGGTCATTTCTGGGCAGAGACTTTAAAGAGCCAACACTTGGTACACAATGCTCTGCTTTTATTCTCTACCGCAGGGACTTAGCCCATGCTGACTTACACAGTACAGCTGTCCCTTGGTGTGTGCAGGGGACTGTTTTCAGAACCCACCATGCATACCAATATCTGCTGATGCTCAAGTCCCACAGTCAGTCCTCTTTATCTGTGGTTCTGCATTCACAGATTCTACCAACCGTGCATCATGGTGTACTATTTGCGTTTACTAAAAAAAAAAGACATGCATAAGCAGAGCTGCACAGTTCAAACCCATGTTGTTCAAGGGTCAACTGTATACCACATCAAATAACTGAGAGTTGTTAGACTGTGGTCCAGTAAAACCCAACAAATTAATAGTTTGTGATTATTATTCATGAGTGATTTTATTAACTATGTAGTCTGAGGAGCAGGAAGAAAAAAGAATGAAGAAAAATGAACACAGCTTAAGAGACTGTGGGATACCACCATACACACCAACATAAATATAATGGGAGTCCCAAAGGCAAGGCAAGAGGAAGAGGTAGGAAGAATATTTGAAGAAATAATGGTTGAAAATGTCCCAAATCTAATAGAAACATGAATCTAACCATCCAAGAAGCTTAGCAAACTCCCAAGAAGGATAAATTAAAAAAGATCCATACAAGATACATCGTATTCAAACTACTGAAAGACAAAGAGAACCTTGAAAGCAACAAGAGAAGTGACGCATCATATACAAGGGATCCTCAATAACATTAGCAGCCAATTTCTCATCAGAAACCATGGAGGACAGGGGCAGTGGGATGACAATGCAAATGCTGGAAGACAAAAAAAAAGTT